GTGCTCGCTGGCTGCCAGACTCCCCAGGCCCGGGATGGAGGGGCCCTGACCCATACCCCAACTTGTGTCTGAGGCCTCCCTTCTGTGAGGGAGAGAGACTTCTAGGAGGACGGGCCGCAGCTCTCATCAGCTCTCGCAAAGAAGTCTGAAACCCCAAGGTGCCTTGGAACTCACGAAACCAAAGCCTTCCCTTCTTGGGACCAGATGAAGCTTATTAGCTCCACCTCTGTGGGCTAAGCCCTGTCCCCTGAGCCTCAGCTTCCCTACCTGTAAAGTGGGCTGACAGTCCAACTTACTTTATGGGCAAGTCAGTGACGTGATGGCCACGAGATAGCACTTTGCCAATGGGAACTACCTCTTAAAACACTGATCTTGGGGCGCCCTGTGGCTCAGTGAGTCGAGCATCTAACTCTTGACCTCAGGGTCATGAGTTCAAGCCCCATGTTGCGGGTAGAGTTTACTTTAAAAAAAAAAAAAAAAAGTACCTTAACTACAAAAGTAATATCTAAGTATGTACCCTTGTGAAAGATTCAAACCACCAAGAAGGTACAGAGAATAAAAACAGAAAGGGTCCCTTTCTCCTTTTTGCCGATTCTCTCCCCAGGAGGCTCTGCTGGCGATAGATCCATGTGTGGCTCCCAGCATTTTTCCAACAACATGTCTGCCTTTTCTTTTCCCATTTTTAGGTTAGAATATTTTAAAATGCCGAATCGTTGAGGCTAGCTCTGTGCCAGGCATAACTGTGTCCTGTGAGAGCTTGGTGTCTCCTCAGGACGGCTCTCTTTGGCAGAGGTCCTTCCTTTCCCCATGACGAAGGGGCAGCTCAGGCTCTCTGTTCTTGCCTGTGGCCCCGTAATACTGGTGTGTGTGTTGGGCATAAGGCAGCCATAGGACTCACCTTCTAAACCAGAACCCATTGAGAGTGAAGGGGACACTGTTATAATTATCCCAGCATGACCGGCACTGTCCCAGGTAAATACTTGCATAAGTCAGGCTTCTCCAGGGATGGGCCCTGCCTCCAGCTGGCCTATGCCAAAATGAGAATCCACCAGCTCATTCAATGGGAAAGCCCGAGATGCAGCATGGCCCGATCCAGAGACCCTACAGGGACCCAGGGATGCCAGGGGAACTTGCTGGGGGTGAGGGGCAGGAATGGAGTCTCAGCCATACGAAGGAGTTGGTCCCTAGGCTTTAGGCTCCCACAGCCCTCTCTATAGCCCAGGAGAGGAGCAGGGACCAGCTGCTGTTTGGCAAAAACCAGAGCTGGGAAGAGTGAATCGTGACTATGTTAGCCCTTCCCCTTCGGCGGGTCTCCTACGTGGTTTCCAGGTTGTCACTGTTAAAAACACAGCAGGCATACTACCTCCTTGTTGCTTTTAAGTCACCTGTGTTCTCCTCAAAGGTTGAACTCTGAAGTAGATAGAAGATATGAAATAAAGTCTAAATTCTTTCATAAAATTCTAAAGTAGTAAGCAAGTGGACAAGACCCCCAGTAGTGATTGTTGGACATGGAACCTGTTGGCGCGTGGGCCAGTGCTTCTGTGGGATGAGATGCCTCCCCCACCAGAATTGCTGGACCCAAGTGCATAGCATCTCCCTTGCTCAGCTCGGGGGTTGGTGCCTGGAGGTGCCCTACCCTCGTCTGCCTGAGAGTGAGGGTCTAATTCTTCACCCTGTTAAATGTTTGCTGATTTCTTACCAAGCTGAAGTCCTTCATGTGTTTATTGTCCACTGCGGGAATTGCCTGTTCATGCCCTTCGCCCATTTTCCTCCTGGGTTGGTGCTTCTCACTGGATTACCAGAGATGCTTACCCCTTCTGTCAGTCCTTCACTTTGCATGCTGGACTCTTTGATTCCCAGAATATCACTTGTCTCCCCTTGGTTTTATCCTGTCTTTAGTCTGTGTTGGCATCTCAAGCTGAGCCTCGAAAGACCGACTGGATGGTGTGAAAACTTCTGTGGGACAGCTTGAACCTGAGTGCATGGGGGGACAAGCCTGGCCGTCCAAGGGGAGAAGCTGGAGGGGGAGGAGAGAGCACCTGTGGAACGGACCCTTGGGGGCCAAGGGGGCTTTAGCCCAGCACAGTCAGGTGAGGTCCAGGACCCAGGTGAGGTGGGGGCATGGGGTACCCCATCCTCTTTCCTGGTCCTGGCCATTTTGCATACTGGCCTTGCCAATCCTACTCTTCCTTTTGAGATCTGAAAATCCACCTGATGCATTTCACAGATAAGAGACTGAAGACAGGTGGAGTTACTCAGCCTAAGTCCCCACAGCTGGTGAGTAGCTGATTAGATCCCAGCTTGTTTGGCACCAGCCTCCTCCCCCAGGAAGCTCCCTCCACTCCTCCCTGTACCTGTTGCACACACCTTGAACTGGGTTCCAGGGCCTTGATTCTACTCCCTGCCTGGGCATACCCAGGTGCCCTGTGGGACAAGCTCTCCCAGGAGAGAGGGGAATGGACTTGGGTTGGGTTCCAGAGGGAACATAACAGGGTCAAAAGTCAAACCCCATATGAAGAAGGCAGTCCCCCCCCACTCCCTTCTGCCCCAGCCACCCTTCACCCCCCAAGTCCATTCTCCCTTCCTGAGGGAAGCTAGCCCTTCGCACCCTGATCACGCTGTTCCTGAAGCAGTCTGGCATTAAGAAGGGGCTGCAGGGGGCACCTGGGTGGCTCAGTGGGTTAAAGCCTCTGCCTTCGGCTCAGGGTGATCTCAGGGTCCTGGGATCGAGCCCCATATCGGGCTCTCTGCTCAGCGGGGAGCCTGCTTCCTCCTCTCTCTCTCTCTCTCTCTGCCTGCCTCTTTGCCTACTTGTGATCTCTCTCTCTGTCAAATAAATAAAATCTTTAAAAAAAAAAAAAAGAAGGGGCTGCAGGAGGTCACACCCTACCCTGGCACCTCCTCCCTGGGTCTGGGCCCCAGTGTAGCCCGCAGGTAGGCACAGGCTAGCAGTGCTGGGGGCCTCACATGTGCTCAGGCACAGAGGAACAGCTCCCACCAGCAGATGATGCCTCAGCAACCCAGACCAGCCCAGAGCGGCACGTACCCCTGAAGATGAGTCTGAAAGCAACCTTGGGAGAAGAGAGCAAGCCACTGAAAGGGAGGGCTGATTGGTGCCATGATGGACAGAGTTACAATGTTAGCCACCACCATGGGAAAGACCCAGAGCTGGGGGAAGGACAGTCACACGGGCCTTCAGTTTTACCCACCTGTTATTTCTGAAACTGGACCATGACTCCCAGGCATTCACTGTGATTATTTTTGTATGCCTGAAATATTTCACTAACCAACTGATTTCCAAACCCCTTCCGCTTTCACTTCCAGATCTTCAGGACAAACCCGAGCTCCTTGCCCCAGTGTCCAAGGCCTGGCCTCTCCCGGCTGACCTCTGAAGCCTCCCTCTGCCGCTCCTAGACCTTTGCTCCAGCTGTGCCTCAGCCAGGAATGCCTTTCCTCTGCTCCACCTGGTCTTTCTGGTTAATCCACAGGGACGGGAAGCTTCTAAGTGGTGGAGAAGTGGGATCCAACATGAGTTCTAACAAGATGCCTTTAGGAGTCCCCGTGAGGAGGGCAAGTTGAAGGGTGAGGCAAGGCGGCAGGGAGAGGTAGAAAGAGACCGGCGCTGAGGCCCTTTGCACACACTGGCAACCGCAGCCCATGCCCTGGCATCCTCAGTCCATCAGTAGTTACGGAGATGGAACTCCAGCCCTAGAAGTGAGCACGAGGAAGCAAGGAGCTTCCTTGAGCTCCAGATAGTTGACCTGGGGCACCACTTCCCTAGTTTGTCTCCCAGGGCCTGGGGGCGGGGGCGGTGCTCCAAAAGGCCAATTGTCAACCCCAGGCTCTCCATTCAGTGTCTCTCTCCCTGCCACCCCCATCATACCCAGAAATGCCAGAATGGGAAAGCTAGAACAAAATGCAGGGAAACTGGGGACCTGAGAGGTCAGCAGGGGACAGCTGAGGTGAGGTAGGTGGATCCCAGATTCCTGGGACAATGACCTCTAAATGACCTTTAAATCTGGTGGTGGCCCTGGACCCCCTGAGAGCTTCAGGGCGGGCCTATGAGACCACACCCCGCCTAGGTGGGCAGGCTTTGGTGGGGGTCTCAGCATGACCTTGGGTGCCTGCATGTGTGGCACCCCCAACCTTGGACTCTGTGGAGAGGCTGGGGTCCGATCCCCCCCCAAGAATGTCTGAAGAAAAGCAGGGGAAGCACCTGGTTTCCCTTGGGGCTGCTCTTCACTTGGAGGCCACCTCCCCGCGAGCCTCCATCTCCTGGCCTGTGAATTGGGGGTCATAACATCCCCCCCCCACCCCCCGGCTCCCGGTTGTGAGAATGAAATCAATTGTTCAGCACAGAGAGTGGCACAGAGGACGCGCTCATTCACAGCCGTCCATTCACCGGCCCCTGGGAACGTCAGCCTAGAGCAGGGGCTCCCCGTACCCGGATCCTGGCCGGGTAGAACGCAGTGGGGGGCCCTTAGGGGTCACAGCTCTGCCTCTTGACCCCCTCCATGTCCAGTCGGGAAAACAGTCCCGGAGGTCTCCCTCAAGGTCATAAAGGGCCCATGCAGAGGGGAGGTGGAATACGACTCCTGGGGTGACGAGGCAGGCACTGTCCGTGGAGACTCGCATTAAGCGTGGGGCCCCGCGATCCTGCAGGGTCCCGGCCGCCGGCTGGGGAGCCCGCGGGGAGCCTCTCCTCGCCGGCCGCTCGGGTTTCCAGGAGCCCCGCCGGGTGTCGGCCGAGCCAGCCCCGCCCCCCGCACGCCCTCAAGTTTCTTCCAACTTTTCCGCGGGTCCTGCCGGGCGCCCCGCCCACCAGCTGGTGACGCAACAATGGTGCAGCGTAGCGACCAATGAGCGGCGACCGGGCCCAGCAGAGCGGGCCAATGGCGGCGGTGGACGGTCCCGCGGTCCTGCCGGGCCGGGGCCGCACTGCGCCTCCCGCCGCCCGCTTGCCCGCCCGCCGCCGGCGCCGCCGCCCAGCTATCCGGCCGCGGTGGCTCAGACCGCGGCTGCGGCGGGCGCGGGCGGCGGCGGCCCGCCAGTCCTGGGACCTTCGCCTGCGCGCCTACCCGCGGGGGATCGGTGCCCGCTCCGGCCCTCCGCCGGGACCGGGACGTCAGGCCCCCGGCCCTGCCGCCCCCCCACGGTGAGTCCCCCCCTTCCCCCGGCCCGTTCGGCGCGCAGCCCCCGCCCCGGGCGCTCTCCCCCGGCCGCCGCCCCCTCGTGTCCGCTGGGCACATGCACACGCAGGTGCAGCCCTCACAGCGCTGGCCACCGGTCGGCAAACACCCTGGCCTCGCCCCCCGCGACCCGCGGCCGCCGGGAGGGGACGGGGAGGAGCTGGCGGGCTGCCCCGGGCGCACTGCCCAGCCCTCGGTGGCCCAACCCCCCATTCACGGAGCCGCGGCGGTGACTAGCTGCCCAGTGACGTGGGGCGGCCCAACTTTACGTAACCCGCCTGGCGCCCCACGGGTATCCACACGGGGTACATACACCTGGGGCGCAGAGTCCCGGGCTTGGGGGGTTGCTCCGGTCATGGGGCTCCCCGGAAGAGCACTCTGGCTGCAGCCCACCCCCACCGCGCCCGTCTCTGTAACTTAGTTACCCAGTGTGTGTGGACGCGGCCTGTCCGCTGACCCAGCCCCCTTGCAACCAAGGACTTATCCTTGAGGGAAAACAGTGACAGTGGGGAGCTTGGACCAGGGTCAGGGGTCAGAGGCTAGGGTTCAGGTTGGGGCTGGGGGCTCAGAGGGCAAGACCACGCAGGGATCAAGCTGGGCACCCTGTGGGTTGGGCGTTCCCCCACTTCTGGAACGAGCCCAAATCGGGAGGGACGGAATCTGTGTTCTAGGCCTGGCTGTACCATGATTGCTGCCTGACCTTGGACAAGCTTGCCCCTTGCTGGAAAATGGGATGACACTACCTGGTTCATCTATTAGGAAGATCAAGAGAAGTAGCAGATCTGGAGGCGATCTGCTGTGAAGAGTTGTGCTCACGGTTCTAGGTTGATTTTGTCCTCCCACCTCCTCCCAGCAGCTAGGGTTGCTGATATCCAGCAAACATCATGTTGGGGTGGAAGGCTCCACCCCATCTCGTCCTGCTGGGGCTCAGTGTTTATTCCTCCCACCCTTTTCTTACAGATGAGGAAGTTGAGGCTTAGAGAAGGAAAGTGATACACTCAAGTCCTGTGATCCCAGTCCAGGAACCAGGTAGGTCTGGGTCTAGAGCTCTGACCCTGCCTGGCCCCATGGGGGGAGGCTCTAGGGGCCCCCATCTGTGGTCAGGGTTCAGAGAGATAAGGTTATGGTTAGGTGGGGTTTGGCCCAGGTAGAGTTGTGGATTACAATATTTACCCTCCTACCTGGTCTTTTCTGTTTGGCGTTGGATATACCTGGTCAGCCAGGTCGGGGGGTCCCTGGGCTGGAGGAGGGGTATTAGTGGGTTTTCAGGGTGGCCTTGACTATGGGTGGGGTTGTGAGGGTGGGGGGCAGGGAAGGGCATCTCTAGCAGAAGTGCCAGAGAACGAGACACAAAAAGATTGGGAGATCAGGTGCAGCTTGATCAAGGATGTAGGGAGGTGATTATGGGTCCAGGAGAGAAGGGAGCTGTGAAGAGTAGCTGGAGCTTCCGGGGCGGGTGGGGGTGTGGGAGTCTTACCGCCATCCCCTCCCCGCAGGTGGTCAGCCGCCGGGCCCATGCCGTGAGGCCGCCACCAGCATGCCTTGGGACGCACGGCCCGGGGGCGGTGCGGACGGCGGGCCCGAGGGCGCAGGCGCGGCGCGCTCCCGGGCGCAGAAGCAGTGTCGCAAGTCGTCGTTCGCCTTCTACCAGGCCGTCCGCGACCTGCTGCCGGTGTGGCTGCTCGAGGACATGCGCGCCAGCGAGGCCTTCCACTGGGACGAGCGCGGCCGCGCCGCCGCCTACTCGCCCTCCGAGGCGCTGCTCTACGCGCTCGTGCACGACCACCAGGCGTACGCACACTACCTGCTGGCCACGTTCCCGCGCCGCGCGCTCGCGCCGCCCAGCGCCGGCTTCCGCTGCTGCGCCGCGCCCGGGCCGCACGTGGCGCTGGCCGTGCGCTACAACCGCGTGGGCATCCTGCGCCGCATCCTGCGCGCCGTGCGCGACTTCTCGCCCGAGGAGCGCGCGCGCCTGCTGGACCGGCGGGGCTGCGGCCGCGTGGAGGGCGGCGGCACGGCGCTGCACGTGGCCTGCGAGCTGGCGCGCCCCGAGTGTCTCTTCTTGCTGCTCGGCCACGGCGCGTCTCCCGGCCTGCGGGACGGCGGCGGCCTGACGCCCCTGGAGCTGCTGCTGCGCCAGCTGGGCGGCGACGCCGGGGCCACCAACGCCGCCGCCGCCTCCGGGGTGCCCGCCGCGCCCGGGGAGACGCGCCAGCGCCGCCTGCTGCTGCTCGACCTGCTAGCGCTGTATGCGCCCGCCGGCGCCGCCGCGCCCACCCGCCGGGAGCTGCTGGGCGACCGGCCGCGCTGGCAGCGGCTGCTGGGCGAGGACAAGTTCCAGTGGCTGGCCGGTCTGGCGCCGCCCTCGCTCTTCGTGCGCGCCATGCAGGTGCTGGTCACCGCCATCTCGCCCGGACGCTTCCCCGAGGCCCTGGACGAGCTGCCCCTGCCGCCCTTCCTACAGCCGCTGGACCTCACGGGCAAGGGGTAGACCTTGCCGGGGTGAGGGGGGAACACCCCCTAGGCGCTGGATTTTTGGAAAATCTATTTTTCAGAGCGATGTACCCAGCACTTTACATATATTGGTCTCTGTACAGGAGAATCTCTGCTTCGTATGTTGCGTGCGTTGCGGGCTGGGCCGGGCCGGGCAGGTGGGCCCCCAGCTGCAGGTTTCCTGGGCCTGGCTGAGCTCAGCTCCCCACTACTCCCCGCTCCCCAACTTTTTGCAAGGGTTCAGGGGTCATGCGACTCTCTAGAGCCAGGCCCAACCCTTCACTCGCTGGCTAGCCGCCAAGGGCGGTGAGGACCAGTGGCCTGTCTTGATCTAGAGCCTCTAGGACTAGGTGTCCTAGAGGGAGCGACAACAGCTGAGCAAAGGAGTTGGACAGGGGCAGGTGGTGTGGACGGACAGGCGGGGACGGCTTGTGGGGAAGCTGAGAGCAGCTCTTGTGAAATCCTAGGAGTTCCTCTGCATTGGGCACGTTTAGCCTTGTAAACTCCCGTGTGGGGGAGAGAAGGGCAGAAGGCTTCTCCCCCTCCCACACTGGCCCCCTGCCGGGCCTTGGGTGTCCTTGTGACAGCGACTGGACTTGTCCCTGTCCCTTCTGCTCTTCCCTGGCACGTAGCAGTCGTCTAGTCCTGGGGCTCCTGCTTCTCTCACTTCCACTGTGGCGCCCCTGGCCCCAGCCCGTCTTCAGGTGGGTTGGATGTTCCTTCTCCCAGGCCTGACCACCCTCCAGCCCTGCGTATGGGTTCCCCTGTCTCCCCGGCTCAGCCCCCAGTGGGTGTTCAGCAGCGCGTGTGGCTGACGGGGCAGCTATAGCTCCTGGTGGCCGAGGGCTCTCAGCCCAGCCCCTGGAGTTGCCTTCTGCCAGAAGGTTCTGAAGATGACCTGTTAACAGATGTGCCACTGCCCCTCAGGAGCATGCTCCGTGCCCTGAGGACCCTGGAGCCCAGGGAGGACGGCCAGGCGGCCCTGCCCGGGGAATTCCATCGGGCCATGAAATTCAACCTGCCCCACCCCAGGCTGGAGGGCCGCCATGTCCTGCTGGGAGCAGCAGCCTGAAGGTCGGCCCAATGGTGGGGAGGAAGGGAGAATGGATGATAATGGATGAGGCCTAGGGACTGAGATTGCAGGTGGGAGTGAGGGCTCCTCCCTCCTGCTGTGTGTCCTGTGGGTCAGTTAAGTAGCTTCTCTGAACACTGACACTTGGGGCAAATGGATGCTAACCTCTCTCCCAGCTCACAACTTGGGGCATCAGGAGCCCTGGCTCATCTAGGCAGTCCCAGGTCTAAAGATCAGCAATGCCGTTGTTGGGGGGAGGGCTTGTTGCCTTTGGGGGTGGCTGGAGGTGGAGACAGAGTGGCTCAGAGTAATGGGGGGCTCCTGGGCCGTGGGCCTGTGGAGGGCCTTGGTGCCTGGAGCCACCAGCAGCCTCTGCCTGGAAAGACCGACAGGGAGCCTGGGCCTGCAGACTTCCTGTCCTGTCTCCCCAGGCCCAGCTCTGTCCTCAGTGGGTCAACCCTCCTGGGCCCCTCTTCCCCTCCACTCTACACCTACAGCTGCTCCTTTGAGGGCCCCAGGCTGGGACTGGGGTGATGGAGAGTTGGAGCTGCCCTGCCTCGGGCCTTCCCGGGAGGCTGTGGAAGGGGCGCCCCACAGAACCCATTGTCAGGCAAACAGGAGGCAGGACCTGGGCAGGATCATTCTGGGCACTGCAGCCTGGGCGCCGAGCCTGAGCACATGTTCAGGGGAAGTTCAGGGGCCCAAATGGGGTGGTTTGGTTGGAGGGTGACCGGGAAGCAGAAACTGTGGGGACTGCTCCATCATTTGCTGGGTGACTTTGGGGCCTCTAGGCCTTGGAGGGCTGAGAGGGCAGGAGGAGGGGATCCCGGGGCACTGGTCCCTGATGTCCTCCTCACTGTGGGCGAGTGGGACGGGGTCCGGGAGGGTAATGGAGTTCACACGCTTGGAGCTGCACTGAGGGCCACAGAAACCAAGGCCTGGCTGGTGTCACTGCCCGATGGCTGCAGAGTGGGGCCTGATTCCTGCCACAGCTCCTGCGGAGACTCACGGAGGGATGCCTGGCTCAGGGCACCGCAGGCTGTGAGCGCAGAGGACCTAGGCAAATGGTGCAGGGTGATAAGTGGAACACCGGGTTATCTGGTGGCCACTGCTGGCCAGAGGGAGGGCAGGAGGCTGGGCAGGAAGTACCTAGCATTGGGCTTATCAGAACCTGGGGCCCTGCAGCCCCAGAAAGGGCAGCCGGCGACTCAGCTCTTGGTCATTGGACTCAAGGCAGGTGGCCTTGGTGGCTTCTCAGAGGCAACCGGTCTCTCTGTGCACGACGAGGCCACCTCTTCTCCAGAGTGAGGCACCTTGGTTTGCACATTGGGTTCACCAACCCCAGTCTTTCTATGGAAAACCTGACGGCGCCCAGGACTGCCATCCCCACACCCACCTGGCGGCCCAGGAACCCCAGCCTGTTAGAGCTCGGGGGCCAGAATCGCGTTCACCCACATGCCTGTGGGGGGAGGACAGGGGAGGTGAGCCCACTCCTCCACAGAGGGGTCGTGATCTCGGGCAGGGAACCTGGAAGGGACATCACGGGATGGCCCATGCTATCAGGGTGGCCTGGGGGAGGTGGCCTTGAGGGCAGGGGAGTGAGGGCCGCGCTCGGACTTCAGCCTTGGTATCACCTCGATACAAATTACTCTGATTTCCTTTCTGTTTCACCAGCTTCAACTACTGGGCTGAGAGCAACTTCCTAAATGACGGCCCGTCCTGTTCGGAACAAGGATGCTTCCTGGGCCCCGGGAAGGAAGGAAGCCAGCGCGCTCAGGGGAAGCTGTGCAGGGTCTGCCCCTGTTCCAGAAGCGAGAGCTGCTGCCATGGCTCCCCTGTGGTTCAGTCCGGCTGCATTTTTAAATGGAGGCATGATTGACCTATGATAGAGGCACATTTTATATATTTTAGAATATATAGATGGAATATATAGAATAAAAGATGGGAAGAGGCCTTTTAAAAACTTTTTTAAATAGGCTTTACATCCAGCATGGGGCTTGAACTCAAGACCCTAAGATCAAGAACCACATGCTGTCCCCACCGAGCCAGCTGGGTGCCCTGAGAATCACAGACCTTATGTGTGTCATGAGGCGTTCTGACAAATGTCTACACACATGTAACCACCCCAGTCAAGACAGAGATTTCTGTCTTCAGTGGTTTGTAACATGAATTTCTGCTTCTAGAATTCACGCTCCAGGTGGAACACTGGACCCGCAGGGAGAAACCAGGGCAGGGCGTGGCTGGGCTTCCAGGGCAGGGGCGTCCTGCTCTCCCCTCCCCCCACGTGGCCGCCAAATAAAGGGGCCAACTTCAAACTTACTATAAGCATTTTCCTGTATTGTAAAATGCTTCGTAAGTGGGATTTCTCAGAGGTCTTTGGTGTTTGCTTTGTGACATTTGACTCACTAGTGTTGACGGCATAAGAAGTCAATGTTAGGACTGTTTCTAAAATGTGAATTTTATTTCTTTTGAAATAAATAATACATTTACATGGCTTGAAATTCAAAAGATACGAAAATGTCTAGACCACAGGCAGCCACTGTGACCAGCTGTGTAGCGAACCCACCGGCAGTTAAACGGGTCTCAATCTCTCTCTCTCTTTCTCTCACCCTGTGCACGGTCTTTGGCCCAGCCACGTCCCTACGCACAGCCAACAGCATGGATGCAGCCACGTCGTGGCCTGTTTCCCCCAGGACACCTGCCCTGTGACGGCAGTGCCCGACCTTGTCAGGCCACTCCTAGGGGTCACAGGACAGCCTGTGTCATACGTCTGCCCCGGACTTAGGATCTGTTCTTGAGGACAGGGTCCCAGAGGTGGATTTGGTGGGTTTGCAGGTTTTAAGTCCGCTCCCCTTGCTCCGTCCGCACCCTGCCTGTGTGCCAGGCGTTTGCTGAGCAGCACCCTTTCATCCGTGTCCATACAAGGGCCTTAGGTGTTCCTCTGACTGGTGTGGACATGTTTTTTTTTTTAAGATTTTATTTATTTATCAGAGAGAGAGCGAGCGAGCACAGGCAGACAGAATGGCAGGCAGAGGCAGAGGGAAAAGCAGGCTCCCTGCTGAGCAAGGAGCCCGATGTGGGACTCGATCCCAGGACGCTGGGATCATGACCTGAGCCGAAGGCAGCTGCTTAACCAACTGAGCCACCCAGGCGTCCCTGTAGACATGCTTTTAAGGTATATATTCACCATAGGTGATGTCGCAACTTCCCCCTTTAAGTGGGGTTTTAAATTTATAGTATTGTACTATTTTGAGAAAATCAAATCTATATACTTAATTTCCTCTGTGGGAAAGCCTTTATCCTCCAGAAATCAGATACTACTACCCCTAGTTTTTTTTTTTTTTAAATATTTTATTTATTTATTTGACAGACAGAGATCACAAGTAGGCAGAGAGGAAGGCAGAGAGAGAGGAGGAAGCAGGCTCCCCGCTGAGCAGAGAGCCCGATGTGGGGCTCGATCCCAGGACCCTGGGATCATGACCTGAGCTGAAGGCAGAGGCTTTAGCCCACTGAGCCACCCAGGTGCCCCTACTCCCCCTAGTTTTAAAGTGGGTTCCACACCCAGCATGGATCCCCAATGTGGGGCTTGAACTCGACCCTGAGATCAAGATCTGAGCTGAGATCAAGAGTCGGAGTCTTCACTGGCTGAGCCATCCAGGCGCCCCTGATTTAAAGATTCTTTAATCCATTTAATAGTTATTTTGTCCACATAATGAAGGGGTGGGGCACATCAATTGTGACCTCCCCTGCCTGTTCCCTCCCCTAGATGTGCCTTCATCACGCTAGTTCCCCGCCGGGCCGGTCGGGCCGCCTGCCGTCCCCAGCCCGCCCGCCCTCCCACGCCATGCTTACTTCGCCCGCTGCTGTCAGCGCTCTTGGTAATTCCCACCTGTGTCTTCCAGGTCTGGAGTTCCACAGAGCTGGGCTCCGCTCCCAGTGGCCCCTGTGTGACCTCTAGCAAGTTACTGAGCCTCCCTGTCACCAAGGCTGACAAGATTTCCCTCAGGGGGCTCTAGGGGTACACGGAGCTGTGCAGAAGCCCTAGGCACACGTCTGGCATCCGGGGCACTTGTGGGCACGAACATTACTCTGGGACTTCTTCCCTGCCTCCCCTGACATAACATCCCTGAGAGGGTTCTTTTCTTTCTTTCTTTCAGATTTATTTATTTGAGAGGGAGGGAGAAAAAGAGACAAGAGCAAGGGAGAGCTCAAGAATAGGGGGACAGAGAAGCAGACTCCCCACAGAGCAGACAGCCCGACGCAGAGCTCCATCCCAGGACCCTGAGATCACAGCCCGAGCTGAAGGCAGACGCCTCACCGACTGAGCCACCCGGCCCCCAGCCACCGAAAGTTTTTTTTTTTTTTTTTAAAGACTTTATTTATTTATTTGACAGAGAGAGAGAGAGAGATCACAAGCAGGCAGAGAGGCAGGCAGAGAGAGGGGGAAGCAGGCTCCCTGCTGAGCAGAGAGCCCGATGCGGGGCTCGATCCCAAGACCCTGAGATCATGACCTGAGTCGAAGGCAGAGGCTTAACCCACTGAGCCACCCAGGCGCCCAGCACGTGATATTCTTTACCGTGGCCCCCTCTGTAGCCTGAGACTGAGGGTGACAAGGGAAGCCATTGGCTTTTGTACCTGTCTGTGTCAGAGCACATGTGTGCAGTAGAAGTGAGAGCTGCAGGCCCAGGATGCCTGCGTCGGCGGGGGTGAGAAGCGTGGGAGCGACGCTGCAGGCCGTCAGCGTTTCTTTTTTTCTTTTGAATATTTTATTTATTTATTTGACAGAGAGAGATCACAAGTAGGCAGAGAGGCAGGCAGAGAGAGGGGGAAGCAGGCTCCCCGCTGAGCAGAGAGCCCCATGTGGGGCTCGATCCCAGGACCCTGAGATCATGACCTGAGCCGAAGGCAGAGGCTTAACCCATGGAGCCACCCAGGCGCCCCATTCCACCAAGCGTTCTGACAAACAGTTAAACGCTTTGGGAAGGATGGATGTCTACGGTTTCCTTTGTCTTTCATCAGGGACATCGGACATGTCTTCTGAATTCAAACTTTCTCCGCCGTCTTCTGTGGAGTGTGACATTCCCTGACAGGAGCCGGACACACCTCGTTCAGGTCTTCCGTGGCATACAACGTGTCCTGCTGCTATGAATGGGATCCTCTCCCACATGCTGGTTTCCAGCAGGGCGCGGCCGACACTTGGATTTGTTTCTTGGATGGAGTCTTAGGCCCAGGGGCTCGAACCCTTCTGAAGCCTGCCCATGGCAGCCTGGCCTCGGCGGGCCTCCAAGCGGAGACAGCTCTGTGCTCCGCCTCCCCTGACGGCGTCCTTCCCAGGGGCGACCGGGGGCGCATCTACCTCTGGACGGCCGCCCTGGGGACGCTGGTGCATATTTAAACATCACATCTGCCACGCTCTCCTGGCTGTGGGGCTGTGCTGGCCGACGCCATTGGCAGATTCTTCCAGCACAGGTGGGCAGGCCGGCCTCGTGAGCGCCTGACGGGGGCCCTTTCTCACAGCCCAAACACCAGACTCGACCAGGTCTGGAAAAAGTCTAGTTTATTGCACTGTCTCAAAGCACAGCTGAAAATTAAAACCAGAAGGAAAAACCATACAAAGCACTGAAGCTAAAAGTAGTTTAAAAGTATCCAACTAGACTTAGGTTTAATTGCACTAAAGTCCCGTGGGTTTAGGGGAACTCTGCCGTCTGAGGGGGGCCGGGCAAGGCACAACATACACAGAGAGAGGCCGCAGCCAGCCTGGGCTGGCCTCTGCCGTCACCAAACTCCGAAAACAAGGATTCTACAAAAGTGGAGTGTGAAGTAGGATCTGGGATTTCAGACTCTTGTCCTCGTTTAGACCAGGAACGCCCCCATCTTTGCGGCTGGCCGGGTCCCGTCAGAGAACACATCTGATCGCTCTTCAGCTGTGGCCTGGGGGCTCCCGGACACACTTGCTTAGGAGAAAACAGGCGTCGAGTAACTGGGCCCTGGGCCAAAGGCAGACTAAAAAAAGCGGCGAGGCTGGAGTCCTGCTTGGGAGCCGCCTGCGGGATTGGGAGGTGCTGACCTCGGGGTGGACCCGTGGTGGGGCTGCCGAGCCCATGGCCCAGATGCCTGCGAGGACCCCAAAGACTGAGGTCTGGCGAGGCCACTGCAGGCCCCGTCGGGAACTCCCAGGAGGCATCCACGGGAGCTCGAGCCAGCCGGAAGGTCCCACGACGGCCCCAGAGGGGGTACCCGAGCTCGGGGAAGCTGCGGCGGAGGACCAGGCAGGCCCAGGGCCAACCTCGCGGAGGAACGAAAGGCCTTCCGCTGGTTTCAGGGAATACATTTCTCCTCTAAATTTATAAGAGCTGATTTCGAATGAGGTATCTTATGCAGGTTTGTAATACAACAAACAAAAAAGGCAATAATTAGTAGACACATCCTGTGAGGACGCTTCTGGGCTCCACAACGGCCGCCAGCAGCACTGCACAGCACTGCGACGAGCGCGCTCAGTGAGCTCCCATGGCTGAGCTCCCCCACGGCCCGCTGCGCCTCCCGGGGCCACGGCTGCCTTGGAAACACGTGCACCTTTTCTATTCCGTGTCCTCCACCGGCCTGTATTGTTTTGGCTAAAGTGTGTTCTCCAGGAAGCGAGCATGCCGTGCCCTGTGAGCGGGCCGGGAGGGCATGGGTTGGGGGTGTGTGTGTGTGTATGTGCGCGCGCTGTGTGCTGGCACAAACCAGTGCCCCACCTCTCTGACGTAGGCTGGGTTTCCCAGCCGGGGTGTCCAGCATGGAATGTGCTAGAACTCACGTCCCTGTGGTGACCATGAAGCTGAGCGGGACCCCCTCAGCGGTGGGAGCACGCTGACCTCCGGCTCCCCAGCTCATGCCTGCGGCGGGCCCGGCAAGGCCGGGAGGAGGCGGCCTCTGCAGGAGCTCAGAGGCACGGCCGCGCCAGCAAGGGCTCCAGATCACTTGGCTGAGGCTGTGGGTTCTGGAACAAGACGGAAACAAACATGGATGAAAGCAAGTGTGGGCGGTCCAAGCCGGCCCGACATGTCTGGACAGGAGCCGACAAGGTGTGGCTAAGAGCCCGCGACTCCGAAACCACCGTGTCCACCCCCCTCTCTCGGCCTGCTCCCTCCTGAGCGCCTGGCCCGAGGCTCCGTCAGATGACCTCCCACTCGTCCTCCAGGTCCTCGGGGTGGGGGGTGGTGGCATGGCTGCTCGCGGCACCATGTGAGTGGCTGAAAGTCCTCGTCAGCCGCTGGAGGAGGTAACCGGGGGGGCCCACGGCCCACAGCTCATCTGACGAGGTCACTGCAGGGACGAGAGGCAGCCGCACGCTCGTGAGTCACCCACCGGGGCGGCGGGCACAGGTGCAGTCGGCCGGCTCCCCGTCCTGCCGTGGCACTTTCTAGCTGGCGGCCCCAGACACGCCACCCCCAATCTGTGCCTCAGTTCCCTCAACTCTAAAGTGGGTGGCCCAGTTCTGGCCAGCTCTGGCCAGCAGGGTGCTGGGTGCCCTCCCTCAGGTGTGACCCTCGGCTCTTGGGAGAGTGAGCCCCGTGGGAGCAGCCTCTTGGGGAGCCCCCACTAACCTTGTCCACGGGAGCCCCAATCCCATGGAGCCCAGCACTTGCCTGTGAAACACGTCACGTTGCCAGGAATTTTCTTCCAGTAGTCTCCCGCGGGGTTCTTGTCGGTGATGCCGTACCGCCGGGCAAGGTCACCGTTGGGGCAGCGGGCCCACACGGTCCTGGTGCTTAGTGCCAGCTGGCAGGCCTGCAGCCCTGCATGTCAACAAGGTGTCCGTCTGTCCTGAGCCCCCCAGCTGGGACAGGCCAGACCGCCCTCTCCCATGAGTTTGCTCCCTCCCCCCACTGGGTCCTGTTGACCAGTGGGCTCTGTGCGGACAGTGCCCTGCACTATAGGGCTCGGAGCGGTGGCCGAGGGAAAGGATGCCCCACCGGGCAGAGCTAGCAAAGCCGCCAAGAGCCCAAGGCCAGGGCACACCAGGACCCAGGAGGTATGGAAGCAATCAGCCCACACAAAACTCCAAGGGAACGGGGCTACTCCCTCCAACAAAGGGTGTTTGGTTAGATCCTTGCTGTCCCCTGCCTCAGTGGGACAGCAGAAAGGAAACGAAACCCCGAGTACAAAGGCCGGGCCTGCCGTGTGGAGGCCGGGCCGCTGGACCGAGCAGGTGCCCGCGGGAGGGGGCAGCTTGTGTTCCCACCTGGCACGTGCTCCCAGTCGGTCCCCACGGGCATCTCTTCGGTGATGCCGGCCCGGACGTGCACGTTCCACCTGCTGTCAAGCGCCCACAGCATCTGGTCGTTTGGACTACAGTGGACGCTGACCAACGTGACCCCCGCGGGCTGCGAGCAGGAAGAGACTTTCCTTAAGGAAGGAGGTGGCGGGGCATGTCGTTTTTGGAGAGAGCAGGGACAGAGGGTTTGGAGCCCGACACAGGGCAGGAGGTGCAGTGGGAGGTGGAGAGGACCTCACATGGACAGACGCCATCCCTGCTGTGTCAGGCGAACCAGATGGCGGGACCACCCAGTGCGTCAGCAGCAGCGTGTCCTGAGGGACAGAGAGGCAGGGACGGGCCAGAGGGCAGGAGGACGCCAGAGGTGCACACGGGGTCCTGCACTGGGACGGGCAGGTGGTGGCCATGGGCAGCAACAGAAGAGGCTGGTGTGGCCACTGTCCATGCCTCTGCCTCATGGCAGGTGAGGCAGCACGAGGGAAGGCGGGCTCTGGAGAAACCCGGGCCTCGGAGGTCCCCGCACGCATAAGCACACGGCCCCAGGCTCACAGCTCCATGCGGAGAGAAAGCAAACACAGCAGAGCATTACCAGTGGCTGAATCTGGACGAAGGGTCTACGGGACTTTGTTGAAATATACCTGCAGGGTTTCTGTTGGCCTGAAGTTTTTTCAAGATAAAAAGTTTAATTTAAAAAAGTATAGAAATGGGGTGCCTGGGTGGTGCAGTTGCTTAAACATCTGACTCTGGATTCTGGGTCCAGTGATAACCTCAGGGTTGTGAGATCGAGCCCTGCATCAGGCTCTGTAGTCAGTGCAGTCTGCTTAGGACTGCCTCTCCCTCTGCTTCCCCTACTCCCTGTGTGCTCCCTTTCTCCCTCTCTCTCTAAAATAAGTAAGTAAATGTTTTAAAAAACTATACAAATAAAATCCACCAAGATATGCTATTGCTGTCGGGGGAATGCGACAGAGGTGCAGGGAAGGAGGCTTCTGTCCGCCCCCGGGAACTCCATCAGCGGGGCGGGGTGGCCTGGGGAGGGGCGAGGTTGGTGTCACGGCGGGCCTCCCCACGCACTCTGAGCCCTAGCTTCCACTCTGCTTTTCATTCCGGTGGGATAGGACGAGGGCAAGGCTGACCACGAGAGAGCCTCTGTGTGCACAGCAGGAAGTGGGGACTGGCAGGCCAGAAGGCCAGTAACTCTGCCCACCAGGCACAGGCCTGGCCCTTGGTGGCCTCATGACCAATGTCAGCTAAGAACAAGGGCATCATTTAATTCCCACTGTCTCTTCTTTAGGCACCATGCTTATAAAGGGCCCATCTAGAGCCACCCACCTGGCCTGGGTCCTGCCACCCAAGAGGAGGACACCTCTTGGCTTGAGCTGCCCTCCAGCATGTCTCCTTAGGCAGTGAATCCCCTGCTGGGTTGGCTTCCCGTCAACGAGTGCGCACAATGCCAGCTGCCCTGCCCTACTCCCCGGTCAGCCTGGGTCCACGTTCCCATGTTCCATATCTCCTGGTCCCTTGTCCACTTTTCATAGGACAAGGGGAAGCCCCTTCAGTGTCCTGTTTGCCACCTACTGACCTGTTCTGGTTCATCCAGGGCTGCCCACCCCTTAGCCGGACGCTTCCGTGCCTGTGAGGACAGAGCCATCTGTACAGTCCCAGCCCTGTCACCGGCAGTGCTGGTGAGCACCGAGCCCAGGGGTCTGGCTGTCCTCCCACTACCGACTGACGCTGTGCATTTTCCCGGACCTCTTGGTAGGCCCTGCCTTCCTGGGCTGCCTCAACTGGACCCAAGGCAGTCCCCGGTGGGCGCTCGGCGCTGACGCGCGGCTCTGCGCTTCTTCCCCCCGGGCTGTGGTGGACGCGGTCCCTCTCCATGCTGCACGCTCAAGACACATCCACATGAGGGGCTTCCTGTTGTCACGCCGACATCACACGACCTCCAGGCCAGCCACCAGACCCCCTCAAGGCACGTGGGCAGAGGGGCTCTCCGTGCTCCCTCCGCCCCATCAAGGGGGCCGGGGCTCCGGGGCTCCGGGGCTCCGGGTCTCACTACCGGCCACTCGGGGCAGGGGCTTCCCACCCGCATGATTCACGAACGGATGAGCCAGCCTCTGGGCAGGGGGGCCGGCAGGTGCCCAGCGGCTCAGCTGATGGGCGACCAGGGCACACAGAGGACAGCAGCCACCGTCCGGACGGTGCAAGGTTCCTCGCACGGCGTTGCCCCCACCACTGGGCGCCCGGCACCTGCCTTGCCTGCTGCACGGCCCTCAAAGTAGCTCCTGTGCTTTCCGAGCGGGGGAGACCTGAAGCTGCTGCCGGCGCGCTTCCGGACACCGGGAGCTTCCCACCTCCCTCCCGACCTGGGCCTGCCTCTGTCTGCTCCAAATTTCTCCCTTATATGGAGCTCACGGGCACACGAGAGGCCACACGCTCCCAGCCTCGCAGCAGGGGCCATCTGTCCATCTGTGGCGTTCTGAGAGAGAACCGGCATCCGTCCCGAGTCCTGCGGCCACAGGCGAGGGTACCCTGGCTCAGCGCATCAGGCCTGCAGACACGAGGCCGGGGGAGCCTGGGAGAGCTGGGCAGACTGGGCTGCCCGTGTGGGGGACGGGATCGGTCAGGCAAGAATCATAAGGTTTTTGAAGGCTGGTTTCAGGGGAGGACAGATGCCATCAAGAAATAAAAGGAGCGCCGTGATGGGGGGACAGCCCTGTGACAGTGGCGATCCAGAGAGGAGGCAGCCTGAGGGAGACACAGCAGCTGGGGGATGAGGGGCCAGCATGGGAGGCTCAGTGGGGAGCATGCATACGGGGGGAGGGGTTGTACGATTGGTTCTACAAGCTTTTCGTGACCGTGCTACCAAAGCAGTCCCTGTGGAAGACCAGGCCGCTGAGACGTCACTGAGGCTTGGCACCATCCCGGACAACAGTCACCAATATAAAACCAAAGTAGCATATAAAGGCCCGAGTCACTCCCCAGCACCAGGCTGCAGATGCACAGGTGAGCTCCAAGGAAGCCCCCGCCATCTCCCCTGTCCGCTGGGCAGCCAGGACTGGGCCCGCAGGGCTGTGGGCCTGGGGCTGGATCCCGCGGGACCACACACAAAGCCACAGAGCACCTGGCCCTGCTCCAGCTCTGAGGGCTACTAGGTGTACCAGAATCCAAGGTGTCTGGGCACTTCTGCTTACCCCACTCACTTTTTATCGAAGGTTCACATGCATCCAAAAAAGCACACAAATCCTAAGCGTATAGCTTGCTGGGTTTTCACACTCTGAGCACAGATCTGGAACCTGAACACGAGCCTGGCTGTGCACCCAGTTACCACCCTGCCTGCTCTCCACACCCCACACACAACGTGAACCTCACTCCGACAGAGGCGGCGGCACAGAGGCCTCTGAAACGGGTAACGGCCCTCCCCAGCAGCTGGAGGCCTGCCCCGGGACAGCCCAGGGGAGACCACGGGGAGAGGGAGGGCCGCAGGCACAGTCTCGGAAGACAGAGGAGCACAGATGGTCCAAATGAAAGCGTGCAGGGAGGCCGGTAACTGTGCACTGGAAGAGGAAGAGCAGAACGTCCTTATGAAGCAGATCATCTTGCAGCATCTCCCAGACTGGGTCCCACAGAACACATGCCACCCCCACAGAGGGGCTCATGCTGCCGGAGCTCTCGGACCCACTGCCTCCTGAGCACTTCCATCGGGGGTCCCGCAATCACCTGCTGGACAGGGAGCACCTGCAGTGCACTGGGCCCTGTGCTAGGCACTGGGGAGACCTCAATGCAAACCAACCACACACCCCGGCCCCCGGGAGCTTTCAGTCTACTGGGAGGGCTGGGTGAGGGGCGCTAGGAGAGCCTTGGCGCAGGAGGGGTGGATGGCCCGGCGGGGGGTCGCCTGACCTGGCCACCCCGGGAAGGTACGCTGGACAGGCCCAGTGGTGGCAGAACCCACAGATAGGTGCAGGTTTGGAAGCAGGAAGGACACAGGGTGGCTGGAGCCCAGTGATCAGAGACAGAGTGGAGAGAGGTCAGAGGGCATGAGGGCCACTGGCGGAGGGAGGAAGTGGATTTCGTGCTGAGTGAGGTGAGAAGCCACTAGACGGTTGTGAAAACAGGAATAACGTGATATAATCCTGGATGTTGGGAGGACAGGCCTCGGAGAGGCCCGCTCTGGAATCCTGGCGAGACAAGAGATGGCCTGGCCCAGGGGTGGCAGTGGACCATCCCTGGGCAGGCATGCAAGGTGCCAGCCATGTCACTCCGGGGCAGGGCTGCTACTTATCTGGATCCTTCCCCTGCACAGGCGGGCTGATAAACAGACACGTGAGCACAGTGGCTGCTGAGTCAGAGTGCAAAGATAGAGAGAGGCCTCTAGCGAGATACACTGACGCCCTTCCCAGAAGAAGGAAACGAATGGCTGCGAAGTTGGCAGCTGGGAGGTGGGCAGCGGACACCAGTCAGCAGGCGGGGCTCGGGCACCCCGCAGAGTCGCGAGTGAGCACCTGAGGGCTGGCCAGACTGGTGGGGCTGGACACGTCCTAGGGCCAGAAACCGGAAAAACCGCCACAGCTAAAAGCAACTGACTTCTTGTTTCTCTGGAGCAGACGGTGCTAACAGGTGTCAGGGTGACTCCCGGTGGGAGCCCACGCACCGTTGAGCCAGAGTGGGCCCCGCCACGCACGCACTCACAGCAAGGGCTTGTCCCCGAGTTTAGCAGCCACCTCCCTGGGCCTTTGCCAGATTTATTTGGTGAACTCAGATTTTCTTTGGTAATGGTCACTTTGGATTTGTTCTTTTGTTCGTAGACTACTGTTTTAACTTTTTAAATTGCAGGAGAATCACCATACAGTGCTGTATCCGTTTCAGGCGCACAACACAGTGGCTCAACCATTCTGCACATTCCCCCAGGGCTCCCGCAGGAAGTGGGTCGCCACCTGTCATCGAGCAGCATCGTGACAGTGCCGTTGACTCTATCCCCCGTGCTGTACTTCCCACATCTGTGACTTCTTTATTTCACAAATGGAAGTTTGTGCCTCTCAATCACCCTCACCTACGTCACCCACCCCGAAGGCTGTCTATCTCCCTGGGCCTCCTGGAGGGCACCCGAGA